TGCACGCACCACCATGAGGGGGCGACGCAGTATACAACAGGGGTACCTTGCACATCCTGTAAATACATTCCACGTACCACACAATCCTACAACCACTTGGCATTGCTACAAGTATATCTATCAGCCCCCCTGCTTGTGACTATGCCATGTCGTCGTGATCGTTCAGTAACTCCAAAACACAAGAAAATAATCCAAAACACAACTCAAATCTGCAACAATAGCCATCTGGGCTAGAAATATATTTCCACCCCCGATCATTCCAGTTGTAGTTTTTCGATAATCATAGCGATCCAATTGCCCCCCATCCTAGAGCACCATTGATTGAGAAGACCATAGGCAAAAATGTAAGACAATGCCACCCTAGTTCTTTGATCAAACACAAGTAATTCAAAATCTACCATTCCTGTCCCACACTCATCACGAAATGAAACTCAAAATCTCCGACCNAAAACACAAGAAAATAATCCAAAACACAACTCAAATCTGCAACAATAGCCATCTGGGCTAGAAATATATTTCCACNACCAGTTATACTTCTTCGAACTTCAGTGAACTTGTTGCCCCCCAGCCTAGAACATCATCCATTGAGAAAAACCATAGGCAAAAATGTAAAATGTTGCCACCCCAGTTGTTTGATCACACACAAAATAAACCCGAACACCAAGATATTAATCCATACTCATCACGTAGTTACGATGAAACTCAAAATCTCCCGCGTGAAGTGCTTTCGTGAGAAAGTCAGCATGTTGATACGCCGATTCCACGTGAAAAATCGAAATCTCCTTCCTGCCTACCAGTTCCCTGATAAAGTGGTGCCTTACGTCGATGTGCCTCGAGTTGCTGTTGCTAATCGGGTTCTGNCCCCCCCCACACATCACCAAGCCTCCTGACACAGACCTCCTATCGGCAGCCTTGCTTGCATAGTCTGCGTCTGCGAACACCTCCATGCTCAACCCTGTTACACTACCCCTCCTGAATGTAATCCCCAAGTCACTAGTCCTTACCACATACCCCAAAATACCAAGACCTGCTCTCCAATGAATTTCTTTGGGACAATCACAGTAACGTGCTACCGCTCTTACTGCATTCGCGATATCTGGCCTCGTTTGCGTTGCCAGCCACATCAATGATCCTATCAGCTCACGAAAAGGCCATGATACCACTTCCTCATCCTGGTCAAACTCTGAAAGCTTCAACCCTACAGGAAGAGGAATTTCCTTCCCGTACTCTACCCCAAACTCCATCCCCAACTCTTCAGCGTACGTCTGCTGCGAGATCTTCAAAGTTCCTGCATCCCAATCTCTCTCATAAAAACATCCAGAGTACCACCTCAAGTCACCAAGATTCTTCACCGGTACCATGGTGTTGAGGTCCCTACCAAATTGGCCACACCTCTCCTCCTCTCCAATCGAAAATATGTCATCCACATGTACTACCAGAGTCACTATCCCTCTTCCCTCCTCGATCAACCGAAACACACACGTATCCGCCAGACACTGAATAAAACCCAAACAAATCAAACACCTCGCCAAGTGTGAGTGCCACTGNATATCATCTACATGTACCACCAGAGTCACTACCACTCTTCCCTCCTCAATCAACCGAAACACACACGTATCCGCCATACACTGAATAAAACCCAAACAAATCAAACACCTCGCCAAGTGTGAATGCCATTGCCTTGATGCCTGCTTAAGGCCATACAGACTCTTGTTCAACTTCACTATCATGCCTAACAATCTACCACATCCCTCTGGCAGACGCATGGAAACATCCTCATCCAAATCCGACTGGACAAATGCTTGCTTGATGTCAAAATGACAAGAGAAAGATTTTGCTCACATGCCATCGCTGCCAACAAGCGAACGCTACAAACCGCTACATTCGGTGCATACATCGCTCCACAATCTACATGTACTCGCTGCATATCTCCTCTCGCTACTAGCCGTGATTTCACACTAGTCGGCCATCCATACTCATCAGACTTCCAGTTAAATACCCACTTGGCCTTGATGACACTCTCTGGTTGCTACATTACTTCCTCAAAGGTACCAGCCTCTATCACACCTCTGAACTCCCTCTCTACAGAGTCTACCCACAAGTCAGCATACTCAGAGGACACAGCCTCCCTATAGGTGTTGGGTACGCGCAAGTCGTTGGCAAAGCAATGTGGCAAGTCCGGTGCCACTTGCGGGGGATTTAAATCCCTCATCGT